ATTGAGGCCTTCAAATGTCCAACGAACGGTCCACGGTAAAAGGGTTCAGCAACAACCCATAACCACCCACTCTCCCACTCCCTCAACCCATAACCACCCACTCTCCTCTCAGGCCAGCAAAAAAACAAACCTCATCTCTTGAAACTGCTCCCCCACTCACGCACAAATCCCGAACTTCCCACTCTCTCATTCACGAACCAGCCCACACATCATCTCCTCTCATATAGTTCACGTCCAGCCCTCTTTCTAGGGAATATACGTCCAGCCCTCCTCTACAATATACGTCCAGCCCTCCTCTACATTACACGCACAGCCTGCCTCTTTTAATTCGCAAGAATTCAAGGCAAAAGCTTTGGCTTCTCCGGCTCTCTGTCCTAACGAACCCCAGCCCCATTTCATGCAGCCGCTTGCTCTCTCTCCCGCTGAATCTTCTCTCAATTCACAAGAAAGCCCCAAGACCGAACCCCCTAGGAAGCTGTAGCCTTTCTCTCAAGCTCCTCTAATTGACAACGAACTTCGCTGCTGTAAAGGTAATGATCTCCCTCTCTTTACATTCTTTGTACTCAAGATATGAGAAATAGATGATTATAGGGATTTCATGGCTTGTTTAATAATTATTGAGTATAGTGATAAAACATAGTATGTTAAAACCTCCTTATAGATCTCTCATTCTAAAGGACCACATGTTATTAGTTCTTAGCAAATGATGTTTTATTTTAGTGAAACTTGACCAAAGAGCCTATATTTGCATTTTGGGTTTTGATAGCATTATTGGTTTGAATTTCAACCACCTTGTTGGAATCCAATATAAGGTTCTTAGTTATGTTGAACACATGTGAGTGCTCTATGTTACAAAATCATTCTAAAGATTGGATGAAAGAGTATATTCATGTTGAAAGTATATCTTGTATTTCAATTATCATGCATCGTTTGCGGTTAAATCAATTTTATATTTATGTTTCACACATTCCAATGGTATGTATGCATGCATCTTTGATGGAAAAGAACTTTGCTTGTTAAATTAGAAACATATTACCCTTTAGAAGACTTGAAATTATATGCTACATATAAGGAAGTTTTTGGTTGTATGAATCATGATTAACGATTAAAAGATTTTTTAAATGATTTAAAGGAAATAAATTTGTTATAATTTTCCATCTCTCAAATTTTGGTTGGCATGAGTGTTGATTTGGAATAAGTTGGAAGTTTATGGTTGCAAGTTGGATTCAATTTGAAGTCTAGTAATTCAATCTTTGCACTTGCATCAAGGATGGTTTCTTATTTGGATTTAGTGAAAGAGAAAATGTTAGAGAACATGATTGTGCTTTTTGATTCAGTTGTAAATGTTTGAACTTTGAATGAAGAAAAGTGTAATTTTAGAAAGGTAAAATGTTTTAACAAGTGTATGTTGAGTTGAAAAGTAAAAATTAGGTGAAAGTTGTATATGTAAAAAGTAAGGTAATGTGTGTATCTTTGAGAAGTTTTAGAGATGTAGAGTTTGTGCCTATATTGAAAAGTGATGTGTAAAGGTAAAGTTGTATTTGAACTTGTGTGTAAAGGTAGAGATTTAGTTGAACTTGTGTATCATTTAGAAGAGAGAATTGTGAAGATTTGAAAGGAAAAGTGTGTGTGTGTTGAAAAGTGAATCAAGTGTGTAATGTTGGAAAAGCAAAAAGTACATATCTTGAAAAAGGAAATGTGTGAGTTTTGAAAAGGTAAAAGTGGAATTTGTATGATTTGGAAAGGTGAAAGATTTATGTTTTGAAAGGTGAAACTTGTGTGTGTTAAAAGATGAAATTTGTGTGAATTTTAGAAGAATGAAAATGCATGGTCTAAAAAGTATAAGAGTCATTTTTGAAAAGTGGAATGTGTTAAGAAGTAATACATGTTGAAAGGTGTATTGAATATTGAAATGTTTAAAAGTATTTTGATAAAGAAAAATGTAGAGTATGATTTTGGGAATGGTGAAATGTGCAAGTGTAAGAGGTAAAATATTTGTTTTATGAAATTGTATAAGTTTGGAAGAGTGTAAGTGAATGTTAGAAAAATATAAAATAAATTGTTGAAAGTGAAAGGATTTCAGAAGCAAAATCAACAGAATCGGTGTCCAAGCCCGAAGAAAGGTACATTTTTATTTTTAGTAAATTTCAGTTATTTCATTATTAATTATTAAATGTGCTTCTAACCATCCCTGTTTTTCCTTATTTTTCATTTTTTATTTGCATAAACTTCGAGGAATGGTACCGGTCGTGGGAACAAAAGGACAAGGAGCTGTGTGCTGCTTTTATTTTCGTTTGGATACTTGAGACTCGTAAGGGTGTGAAAATTTTTATACTCGTAATCTTAAAGTTTAAAATTTAATGAGTATAAATAAGTTAGAAAGATAACAAATTTAGGTAATTAGCTGAGGATCGACCCTGGGGTCGCATGCATATTTGTGCATTACTCTTTCCTTGCTTTAGACCCTTTCCCGCCTACGGGTAGAGTTCGGATAGTCTGACCTACGAGGATGAGGTGCCGGACATGGGGAAGTCCAGTCTTCTAAAAAATTATTCTCTAAGCATGTTTTTAACTTTCAAGCATACTTGATTTTAGATTGTTAACTAGCATGCATTGCATTAGAAACAAATTAAAAGTGTCAAAATTTGAATTGCATTAGTCCTTAGCATTTTGCACCCAACATAAGTTAAAAGGGCCAGATAGAGAAATCTCTAGATGTCTGCCCTAACTCTCCAAAACCTTTAAATAAAACATCCCTACCACTCTCTCATAAAAGACCGTACTCATCTCTTTTAAATCGATTAGGTGGTTAGCTGGCTCCCCAATCTAGGTCGGGGTAAGTCTAGGTTTTGCACTGCATTAGTTAGGTTTGGATTACTGTGGTCTAGTGTCCAAATTAGATTTAGGATCCAGGACAGATCTTTGATAATAAGACCCCAAATTTCAGGAATATAATCCCAAATTTCTAATAAAATACTCAACTCTAATTAAAGCTTCATTTCAATCCTAAAACATAAAGCCCAACACTTAGATTAAGTTGGGACACTTCCATATGGTTTTCGAATCTCAAAGTGTCACTACCTCTCTTCCTTTAACTCTGTTAATAACTGCTCAATCTTGATCTATTCCCTTTTAATTTTCTAAAATTCATTCATTTTTTATATCACTCCTAGAAAATCTAACAAAATTTTGCCACTATTTTAATCCAGAGTTTCGAAGGGAACCTTATCTCCCTACGAAGTAATTAACTATGAGGGCTTGCGCTCGTAGGAGATTTAGAACCACACACACTTAATTTTAAAAATTGATTTTTCAATGTTCAATTGGATTTCTTTGGAAAAACTTAAAATATAGTGATCGTTATTATCATAATCAAAGAATTATCATTGAATGGTATTTTCTCCCTTCAGAGAGATACACCTTTCTTTGATAAAGCTTTGGATGTGAAATCAATGATCACACTTCTTGAATATGTCAGGGCCATATGAAGTTCTCTTTAGTATCCGATCACGATATTCAAGATGAATTTATAATTCTAAATCTGAATACCGTTATATAATTTTATTTTCACCTCTCGAGGTGATATACTTTTTCTAATGAGATAATTCAATTTTAGAATTCAATTTGAAGTCCAAAAGAAAATAAAGATTTTCAAAACCAACTTTTAAAATTCCACCAACAGTTAGGAGGGATTAGGAATATCTAATTTCTGCTTCTTGTACATCCTTTGAATTTTTATAAAACTAACATCCTCTTCTAAGTCACCTGCTTCTTTATCATTAAAAGCTTTGGTCATCTTTGGAACATTGATTTTCTCTAGTACATTAGACTACTCTGAGACATTGGACTACTCTGGGATATTAGACTTCTCAGGGACATTGGACTTCTCTAGGGCTTTGGTCTCGATTGGGGGTTTAATCTTAGCTAGGGCTTGGGTCTTTGTATGTTCGAAAGATATCCATATATTTTGCATTGGGTGATTGCATGATGATGAGGAGAGAGCAGGTTGTTGATCAGGATTAAGAGTGCCTTGAATAATGCAATTGTGGAGCTTATAATCAATTAAATCCATTCTTTAAAATATTTGCAGAAACTTCTTGCTCAGTCTACCTTCAAATTTATGGAAGAGGTTTGTGCTGGTATCTTGGACTATTTTGATTATTTTATATTGGAGAACATCAAATGATTGTGGTGAAAATGGAAAGTGTGGTTGCTTAGGTGATTGGAGTTGGGGTAGGGGTTATTGGACAGATTGAGAATGATGGCTTGATGTATATTTCTGGATGCCCAGTAGATTTACTTCTTCTTGGTTAACTCCTTGGAGTTCATCAAAAATTTGTGAAAAATTAATTTGTTAGCAAATCCCTATTCCCAACAATCTTTAAGAGGTATTTATTGAATTAATAAATAAATTTTCATACGTACTTATCTTTTCTTTAAATTAACTAATAATTTAGTGGTCTTCTCAGTATTATATACAATGTCAACAGCCCATCGAAGGAAATAGTGCCTTTTGTCAAAGTACTTAGGGTGATGAATGAAAGTGAGCTCTAGGAACCAAATCTGCATAAGATCAAAGTTAATTTTAGCAAATAAATTAGTCAAATTAAATGTTAAATTATAATAATTTTAGCACTCACAATTAATAGAGGCATAAAACCATTGATGTAACTAGCTGATTTATTCTTTGAAATATTGGTAGATACATTATTAAACTCTTTAACCAAGCATTCCCAAATTGACCATGCCTAATTAATTAATAAAAATTCACCTACATTATTTTATATTGTTTGTATCAACCTAGGGATTTTGAAGTTGCTTTGTTAGAAAAATAATTTTGAACATAAATACATAATAAATGTTTTGAACATAATCTCTGGGGGGCTATGTCTAGTCAACTTTAGCATTTCTGACTTTATATCCTCTGAGGTGAATGTTGTAGTGGGCAAGGTAAGCCCAGAATACTCTTCACCTCTATTTGGAAGACCAGTAAGAAGGGCCACTTCATCAGCTTTGAAATGTATAACATTACCCTCTATGATAAAACTTTGCCATGGTATATTCCACATTGTCATCAGCTGATAAATAAGTGGTGCATTTTGCTCTAATCCAGAAAATTGAAGAAATTGGTAGATATTTAGGTTCTTCAAATTGTCTTTAACTTCAGGAGGAATTATCAATGCAAAAGTATCACAAATTGTTCTGAATGTTGAAATATAGTAGCGATAAGAGATGGGACGAACATAAATCTACATAAATTAAGAAAATAAATCTTAAATTAGATAAGGAGTGATACATAGAAATTACATAGAAGATACGCATAAGATATGCAGAATATATGTAGAAGATATGCATTATATATGCATAATATACACATACGATATGCATACTATACGTGATAAGATACATAGAATAAACTAAATATGAACCCAGATATTACACATACGATATGTAGAATATACGCAAAATATAAGCAGAAATCAAGAATTATTTACACTAAAATTAATCAGAAGATAAGAAATGACTAATCTTTTTTCTTTACTAGAATTTTTTATTATTTTAAGATCCATTGTATTTATTTTGAAATGTTAGGGTTTGAGTCTTCAACATATACATAAAGAATAAGCAAAATATATGCAAAAATCACGTAGAAGGTGAAAAATATATAATCTTTTATCTTTATCGGGATGTTTTTATTTTTTTATGGTTTATTCAGCAAATACATAGTAAATACAAAAAAATACGGAGAACATTTTATCACTTGTACATACTAACGTACCTTTTTTTTTGAGGTGACTCCTTTCCCTCCATTTGAGTAGAAGAGAATGCTGGAAGTTTTTTAGAAGAATTTTTTTTGCAGGAACCTTGGAGAACTGCAAATGCCAAAAATTGAAAACTATATAGGCACTTGAAATATGAAAAATTTCTGCCTTTTCATCTTTTTACCTTTATTTTGGGTAGGCGGGTGTATGTTTGTCTCTAGTCAGTCTGAAAAGATAAACGGGTTGGGTTGCAAGTCAAATAAATATCCTCGCTTTCCACGTAAGCATACCACGTATAAGGATTTTATTGGCATCCGAACATAGCTCTATGTCAGGATTCCACACATAATAATTTCTCTTCAAATTAAGAATAAAAAAGAGGGTGATGTTAGATTTTTCCACAAGAAAGAGAAGAATTCTTCTTCTTCTTGTTGCTTCAAGCTCGAGCAAGAAAACGTGAGATACTTCCCCTGCTAGTTTACTTTTCTTTTTGTTGAGTCATGGCATTGTAAGGCTTAGAGGCAAATGGCCATGGTATCTAAAACTATCAAAGTTTTATTTATTCAGTTAATTCCATTCTTTTTTTTTTCGCTATTGTCTAAATTCGATCAATTTGATACTGTTTATAAAAATAAAAGAAAATAAAAATATTTATCTAAACTAGTTTGCATTGTTATATATGAAGTATTGAATGTTGTTATGCATATCAGGTTCGACAGAGTAATATTTCCAATCGCTTGTTTGTGTCTGGCATGAAGATCAAATCATTAGCAGTTTGATGAAATGCATCAACAAAATATTTTAAGATTTTATTTGTATTAGAAATTTTTTGTCAAAAAGGTATGAGTTTAAAGCTTCATCACATGTATTTGTAAGGATTTATCAAAGCTTATACTTTCATAATGGTTATTATTATGGCATATGAAATCTTATAAATATCTTATTTCACATAAATCATGTTTTGGGAAACTTAGCCCACATTCATATATATGTTAATTTATAATTGAATATTCATCTTCCTGTAAATTTCTCTTTGTAAATTAAATTATAAATGATAACTAGATTTAGTTACTTCATTAGGGGATTGTATTTGTATAGTTATGATGTGAGTAATTTCCTAATTCCCTAACTATCAAAGTGAATGATGATTAGGAAAAAATTTGTATGAGCGATACCTTGTCATCGTCAATGATTAATTGCATTAGAATTCAATTAGGCTTTCTACAAGAGGAAGCAAATTAACTAAGATAAATTTTTGTGAGATAGTGATAACATTTATACGAATTTGTATTTAGGTCATTCATCATAATAGTCAAATATGATATTCTAAAACATTGTTTTGATTTTAATATATATATATATATATATATATATATATATATTTAATTCTCGTGATGAATATTTGAGAGAGTTTGGTGGCTTTCATTGATTTGCTTTGTAATATTCTTACATTATATTTTGAGTGGCATTGGTTATATGCATGTATATTGCTCATTGAAGATTCTATCATTTAAATAATTTAATAGTAATTTGTTTGACAAGTATATTTAATTCTATTGATTTTTATTTTATTTTTTAATTATATTGATTTACTTTCATTGATTTCATAGTTAATTTTGTTAGCAAATTATTTTATAGTTAATAAATCTTGGTTAAGTTTTAAAATTTTTGGGTCCACTTATGCTCTAGCATTCAATAAATGGTAATTAGATTGCAAAATTTATATGTTTATATTAATGGAGTTTTCATCTCACATATTCATTTTTGGAATAGAAGTTGATAAATGAAATTGCACAAGATAAGGAATATTTCAAGTAAATAGCTTGCAAATGATAATTCTCTTATGTTTGACAGATCATGCTATTGCTAGTAATCCATTGCCTAATACCACTAGACACCAATTCTCTTGTCATTCTCAAATATTAGTAGGAAACATGTATAAAGTATTCGCACTAATATATAGGGGTTATATCTTAATATTCGACTTCTCTGATTAGCATGTAATTAAATATATCATAATTCATGTAATCAAAAATTGCCTTAACTACAACTTCACTTATTGATTTTGTGGGTTTTGAAATGGTGCATGGTGATATCCCTTAAATTTCTCAATTGTTATTAATATGTATGATTTTTCTTAAGTATCTTTTGTAAGTTTCATATATAAATTAATTTAGAAATTATGATTCCTAGTTCTCTCTTAGTTTTACTTGTGAGGTACATTTGGAGATACTTGGACAACAATTTAGGGAGTATTCAATCACCTCCATTTCTTATAAATGGATATGCTACGGTCGATGCACTGTTGACCAGCTCCGGTGAGATAAATTCTCAAACTTAAAGCCTCATAGGTCCCATAAGCCTTGCATGTAACTAGGATTCCCTCAAACCTTAGGTCCTTGTAGAAACCATGCACCTAATCTTTTCAAATCACCTAACCTGCTAATAAGTTGGACTTTATTCATTAGTATAAAATCTAGGTATTCATAGCATTGATTCATTTTCTCACATTTAGATTTTTTTTCCCATTTGATTCTCATGAATCATAATTTGCATAATAAAATATATTAATAAAGATAAAAAACATAATTAAAAATAAATTATCTCAATTTATGTCACTCTAAAAAATGAAATTATTAATAGATTTAAATCAAATTAATTAATGCTACAACTTAAATAAATTAAAATTAAATAGAAAAAAAATAAATGATTGATAAATTTTTAAAATAAAATTAAAACATTAAACTTAAATGATTAAATAACATTAATTAAATCTAATTTTAATCATCTCAAATAAAATAAGACTTAATAATCAACATAATTAATCTTTATTTAATAAAATTAATTTATTAATTAATTTTAAATTAAAGGGCCTTTTATGTTTTTGTTTGATTCCTTTTGAGTGCACATTAGTATTGATTGGAGGGTCTCTAAATAATGAATTATGCTCTTATGTGTTATGTTTACCTCCATCTTAGAAGACATAAGTGCAATGGATTCTTAAGTCCTTTAATGAATAACTAATTCAATATATTTAACAAACAATCAAACATAATTACCCAAGGTGATTGTTGGATAACCTGGGCTTATGTTGCTATTAATTTAGCCTCAAGAAGAGTGAAATAAACCTAACAGCAATGTTTTAACAAATGCATTCACTATTCAACCTAAATAATCATTAATAAATCATTAATAAAATACTTAGAAATTAGAGCTTTATACCCTTGTGCTTAACTCCTTTTAGGAAGGCAAAGGTGTATTAAATTGAAACCTCTTAAGGACTAAAACACCTAATTAAAATACAAGGACTCTATCCAACCAATCATATCTTTTATGGGAATATGGTAGCATTACAATTATGAGCCTTAGAACTTGGTTTAGTGAGTTCTGCACTTTGAAGTTATGAATTAAAATGGTTCTTTTTAAAACTTAAAATGAAATAACTCAAACAAATATGACTCAAAAATTTAATTAATAAAATTTTAAAATTTTAAATTTTAAATTAAATTTAAATCTCTCATGACTTATAACCAACATATAATCTCAAACTTAAATAACTTAAACACCAAATCTCCTAGGGTATATCAAAGACACGTGACAATTTACACACACTAGAACTTTTTTGCTATGAACACTAACTCTAGCCTTAGGTTAGGTTGTTAGTGTGTTTTAATGTGACACAGGTACCTTTTATTGGAGGGTACCCTTGGTATGTTTATTTATTTTATGTACTCGAGATGTCATCCATAACTTTTATACACCTTGCTTCACACTACACTATCTACCTACATGCATCATATCATTATTGTTCAAGTAAACATGTCAAACCTGGAATGTATCTAGAATGCTTGTAAAATAAATTGAAGTAGAATATATCTAGCTGTAAATGTATATACAAGAGTCAAGTGTAAATATAAAGAGTTTAGAATGTAACTAGATCGAGTTGTATACTTTCATTGAGTTATAAAGCTAAAAAATATTTGATTATACATATGCATATAGAGCTCCAAAAGATAATCCCCTTTCCCTTAGGGGGGTGTTCTCTTTTGGAATCCTATGGAAAACCTAGAGCTAGAAGACGATAAGCAAGTATATTTAAAACTAAATTACATAAAAGTAAAAATTAGGTTTGTTATGGTGGATTTTGACCACCATATTTTATTGTAGACCCTGGGTTATATTTATTTTCTAAATAAAAAAATAAAATATTTTATTTATGCATTCATTTTATGCATCATACATGGCGCTAAATTGATTCATCTTGCATATTTCATATATCCCAAATTTCACTCTTCAAGTTAAATATCCTTGAGTGCTTAGGATTTGAACCCTCTTATCTTGCATACATAAGACAATTGATTATGCTTAATATGTTAGCTGACCGTTCACTCCAGGTATATATAATCCTAGATTGTACATCCCTTAATGTGTCTCCTTTAAATCTTAAATGAATTCTAAGTATATAGTTTATTCTTAAATGTTAAATTAATATTTGATCTTTTAAACTAAAATTTTTAATCACATCTTTATACATTTTTAAAAGGTTTAATCATGACTAAAGATAAAGAGAATGGCTTATCATCTTTGGAATAGAACCCATGAATCTCCCCTGTCCACCAAACTAAGAAAAGAATATTATAGCATCCTTAATCGAGAGCTTTCCTTGGTTATGGCCTAGGATATAATTAACCATGGGAGCTTTCACCCGTGGGGAATCAACACTCACATCTAATAAACATCATTTTAGCTGATGTATCAGATGGGGGAAATCTCCTGACTATCAGGTTATGCATATTATTATTCATCAAGATGTGTAGGTGAACCCCGTTATTCTCTATGGATAATTATATGTATAACAACATATGCTCTCCCGTTAGCCAGCTTGCGTAGATCGTAAAGTCCTACGACCATTTTGTCCTACGACATAGTGCAATCGTACCATTTGCATTCTTACCCCCACCAGTAGCATCCTTTTGGAGACCCATAATGCTCTCATTGGATCCCTTGTGAGAGCATACCTCATCATTTTTCAGAGTCCTCAATGTTATCCTTAACCTTTAAAAAAGCTTAGCTACCTCAACTTCTGGTTTAATTTCTAAGGAATCAAACTATATGTTTTCCCATAATTCCTTTTGCATCATTTGCTTGACCTTTATAGAATAAGATTTTTCCTTGCCCTTTTTCCTTTAAATGGTTGCTCTTTATGTTTTTGTAATCTAATCTCAAGTTTCCTAGCTTTTTGCACTCAAAACAAACCATGTCAAAAGAAAACTTACTATTTTTACCTTTTCTCTTGTCAAAGTGATGCTTGTATTTGCCGAGCATGAAGCTCTTAAATTGATGTTTCTTCAATGCAATATATTTGCTCCCATCATTTCTTGAATCACTATTATTGATGTTATCCTCCTTTAATGCTACAATTCTTTATTTCCTCTGATCACCTATATCTAAAAACCTTTGGCAGTTAGAGAGCCCAATAGGTTATAAATAAAGTAAACATTAAGATCCTTAGATTCAGATATAGTTATAACTATTGCATCATATGAATCAAGCAGGTAACAAAATGTTTTGTTAATATTTTTAGTGTTA